TAATTTTATAACATCATAGAATCTCAGAATTAAGAGGGGCTTGAAAGGTTATCATTTATGTGACTAATTATGTGATATTCAGATCCCTATTTTACTATCCTTTGCCAAATTGTGATACAGACTATGGCTTAATATTGCCTGTCATGTGGAGCTTGGTACATTTCAGGGCAGATGATTTTGTTTGGGGACAAATCTAACTGGTAGAACAAATTTTAAGCAAACTTAAACAAATGTTTTCTTTTATTTCTCATTAAGTAGTCTTAGTTACCCCCTTAAGGATATGTTTAAAATTCTAAGGTAATGTACTTCCTACTTATTTGAGTTAGGTTTATATTCATGCAGAGAAACTCACCTGGCAAGTAGAAATGCAGAACTAATCTTCAGGAGATGAGTGAGGGCTAGAGAAGGAGTCATTTAAATTGAGGAGATAAGGGCGCCTGTGTGGCTCAGTTGGTTAAGTGTCCGCCTTCAGCTAAGGTCATGATCCCAGCATCCTGGGATCGAAACCCGCATCGGGTTCCCTGGTCAGCAGAGAGCCTGCTTCTCCCTTTCCCTCTGCCTGCCGCTCTGCTTACTTGTGCTCTCTATCTCTCTGTCAAATAAATAAATAAATAGTGTCTTTAAAAAAAATTGAGAAGATAATTTAAACTATAGAATTTGTGGTAACTACTAAAGTGACAAAATGTTAAAGGACATGATAATGCTTAAAAGTTAATTATGAAATACTTAAAATATTTTAACTAGTTTTTCATGGAAATCCCTTTGGAACCACATTTGAAGTTCTATATGTGTCTTCTTAGTCTACTAATTTAAAATTAACTACAGCATCATTGAGGAATAGTATTGGCATCAGTTAATGAGGCCAGCAAGCCTAAACAATACCCATAGATATTTATAAGTCAAATCAAATTTCCTCTGGTTTTTGAATTTTTGAAAGCTATTTGAGAACACGAATATGAAATAACTATTTTTAAATGAGGTTGATTTCAGTATAAAGCCTGATGAAAAATTCGTTCCCACTGACTATGGGACAAGATAAAAGCCTTAATATGATTGTGTGCTGGAAACCACAAATAATGGAAATATTATGCACAACTTTGCATTTTAAGAATAGAACAAGAGTACTATGAAACACTGCATATATATCTGAATGTTAACAATTCTTAAAGTGACTAAAATCCAAAAAAATAAAGTTTCTCTGAATTTGGCTGCCTCCCCTGTATCCCTCTGCTGAGTTACTTAGCTTCTTTTAGCTTTTATGTTCTATCTAAATCTCCTTTCACATTTCTTTGTTGTTAATTAATGTTTAGTGATTCCCTTATCTGTACATCTGTCTTCTGCGTATTAAAATCGATGGTGTGTGTGTGTATGTGTGTGTGTGTGTGTGTGTTTTCACATTTGGGCATTTAAAGGCAAATATATGATTCCATGGGTGCCAATTTCTTTCCTTTCATATCCAACAAAATACTCTTCTTCAACAGATGAATGGTCTGAATTTTATTTTCTCTAACGGTAGTGTTTTTCAGAATTTGGTGAATGGCAAAATGTTTATTACAAACATTTTAGCAAATATTTTTTTAAAAATAATAAAATAATTTAATAAACATATGTGACACAACTAAGATACCATTCACCCACCGTTTTTTAATGATGGCAAAATTATCAGACGGTGTAGAACCTATAATGCTATTAACGTGCCCTTATCCAAAAAAATATACATTACCTTATAGAAATGTGACCAAAAATATAAATAAAAGATAAAGAATATTTGCCTATTTGGGCATGTATTTTAACACACACTTAATATTTTTAAAGGAGAGGCGCCTGGGTGGCTCAAGTCGTTAAGCGTCTGCCTTCGGCTCAGGTCATGATCCCAGAGTCCTGGGATGGAGCCCACATTGGGCTCTCTGCTCAGCAGGAAGCCTGCTTCTCCCTCTCCCTCTCCCCCTGCTTGTGTTCCCTCTCTCGCTGTCTCTCTCTCTGTCAAATAAATAAATAAAATCTTTAAAAAATATATTTTTAAAGGATAGTCTGACCTAGAACTAGTTTGTTTTTAATTTCTTGTATTAGATATATTCATTAAAAGGGCAGTGGCAAAATGTCTCATGTTATTAAGACGGTGACAGAGTGTTTGTTAACTTACCACCCCTGCCCATTTTGAAACACTTTATGGTTGATTTTGTAATATTTCATTGAAAATACCATTAAAAAGTAGCCAAAAAGTATTTACACATATAAAAATGATACATATGCATGTGTATCTCTGTGTGTGGGCTGGGAGGATACAAAATAAAAAATTAATGCATTCTTTATAAAATCTTTGAATTGTTTCATCTCAGATTGTTTTGTCTCTAAAAGGGGAGGCATACCTAGTTTTGAAGACTTATAGAATAACAAAATAGTTATCCATAAGATATAAAAATTGAATTATATTTATTTAATTGATATTGGATAAGAATATTCATTGAGTTAGAAACTCTTGAAACATTTATGTCACAAAGGATCAGATAGATAATCTTTGGGAGCAAACCTTTTTGTATGGATTTAAGCCAGTGCCCTGGAAAAATAACTCTGTTCAACAATTTAACAGTCTGACATCAACTCCCCAATGTGCAAGCACTTTCTATGATTTATAAAAAAGGTAACATGTTTTTAAAATTCTACTACCTTTTAGCTCTTATGCCAAAATACATAACCCAAGTCTTGAATATGTTTAACATTCATTAGAGTCTTTGGCAATCTGGTTTAAGAAAAGGGGGGGTTGTTAAAAAAAAGGATTTGCAATGTATCTCAGGGAAATTCAAGGACTGAAACAAATACAGCCAGACCTCATGGGGAACATAATGGGAAATTAGGCCATACTTTGTATCTCTCAGGGTCCACATGGTCTCCCTGTCACCTCCCTCACTTCCCATCTGTTCTCTACAGCAGCAAGAATGATTCTTAAAAATGTAAGGCTGATATTATCTTTTAGTAACCCTCTACTGGCTTCCCATCGCTCTGAGTAAAAGTTAGCATTCTGACCCAGGTTCACAAGCCCTATGTAATCTTGTTGCTCACTCCCTATCTGCCTTCACACCCTATCTCTTGCTTTCTTGCTCCCACTATAGCAGGCACATTCCCCCTCTTGCTATTCCTTTGGCTCACCAAGCACACACCTATTTCAGAGCCTTTGCATCTACTGTGCACTGTGTCCAGTATACCCTTTCCACAGTTATCAGCAGGGCTGGCTGGCATTTTCACTGCATTCAGGTTTCTAGTCAAAGGACATCATCAAGTATGCATCCCTGACAATGCTATCCCAAGTAACAGTACCCCGATTACTTTTAAACTTTGTGGCCTGCTTTATTTTTATTCCCATGGTTTTCTCTCCTAATGAAATATAATTTATATGCTTGGGCATTTTTACCATCTATCTCCCACTACAGGAATAAGTTTTATGAAAACAGGCACTTTGTTTTATTCATTGCGGTATTCCTGGCACCTAGGACAGTGGCCCGTGCATAATAGGAACTCCATACGAATGTATTAGAAGAATTAAATGAATGAATGTTCTCTCTAATCTCTACTTTTTTTTGAGTATGCACCATTTTTTCCTCCTTCTGCTAAGCTGCTTTCTCTGCATCGGCTAGCACACAGCTCATAATTGCTACATGGCCTTTCAGCTGCAGTATATTCTCCACCCACTGGCAACTTCTCTCTTTCACTTTAGTTCAAATTCCTGAAAATTTAACTGGACAGGCTTATTTTTTTCCAGTAAGGCCACATAGACCATAAGTTTCTGGCCAGTCTCTGGATGTATTCTTTTTGGTCAGATATCTGTTCCTGGTCTCATAAGACTGAGCCAGTTCACAGCATGGATGATTAGGTATGAGGGGCCGTGGACAGGCAGCCAGGCAACACAAACACTTCTAGTACATAAAGCCACCGCTGCCACATGGGCACCTGTGCTCTCCATTGTCCCAAGTTCTGCTCACGAGTCTGACATCACTCCTCAGTTCAGTGCATCAAACTTCTGCCTCCATGTCCTTCTAGACAAAATGACTTCTCTGTTTTTTTCTATATTTCTTTGTTAGATATAACTATGCATCTACAAAACTTCTATAATAAATATATCTATATAGGGGCACCTGGGTGGCTCAGATGGTTAAGTGTCTGCCTTCGGCTCAGGTCATGATCCTGGGGTCCTGGGATCGAGTCCCGCATCGGGCTCCCTGCTCAGCAGGGAGCCTGCTTCTCCCTCTGCTTCTCTCTCTCTCTCTCTCTCTCTCTCTGTCTCTCATGAATAAATAAATAAGATCTTTAAAAAAATATTTTTTTAAAAAATAAATAAATATATCTATATCTCTTCCTTGATCCTAAAGGCAACAAAATGCCCTGTACCCTTATTCTCACCAGGCTGTTCCACTTATGTTTTTGAATGGTAAGCAAGAAATCCCATGTGCCTGTACAGAGATCCTGTTGTCGACACACCCTAAGGTGACCCCCCAATGTGTCACATCCTTGTGTAATCTCATCTTCACAGTTTACTGTGGATGGAACCTGTGACATTTTTTTATCCAGAGAAAATGGCAAAGATTATGGGATTCTGCAGATATAATTAGAGTTCCAAATCAGTGATTTTGAGTTAATTGGAAGGGAGATTGTTCTGGGTCAGCTTGACTTAATCAGGTGAATGTCCTTAAAAGAGAGAATAGTGTCCTCCCTAAAATGAACACACATTCTCCCTGTGGTCTTGAAGAATCCGAGGAAATGAATTCTTCCAACAACCTGGTTAAATTTGGAAACACATTCTTCCCCAACCAAGTGTCCAGAGAAGAACATAGACCAGTTGCTTTGGGATGGGCATCCTGCTGGCTGGACTGCACCTTCTGGGCAGCATGCAGACTCAGTTCTTGTCTGGACTGCAGCCATTAGTCTGCAGCATGGGTGGCTGCAGGAGCAGGTGGGTGCAGGCAACAAAGCAGGGAGTAGACACTTGGTGGGGCCTCAGTTTCAGCAGTGCTGCCTCAGCTATGGCCCCAGTCAAGGTGGGAGATGCCATCCCTTCAGTGGTGGTTTTTGAAGGGAAGCCTGGGAACAAGGTGAACCTGACAGAGCAGTTCAAGGGCAAGAAAGGGGTACTGTTTGGAATCCCTGGGTCCTTTACCCCGGCCTGTTCCAAGACCCACTTGCCAGTGTTTGTGGAGCAGGCTGAGGCTCTGAAGGCCAACGGGGCTCAGGTGGTAGCATGTCTGAGTGTTGATGTTTTTGTGACTGAAGTGTGGGGACCAGCTCACAACTCAGGAGGCAAGGTTAGGCTCTTGGCTGACTCCACTGAGACCTTTGGGAAGGAGATGGATTTGTTACTAGATGATTCATTTGTGTCTATCTTTGGAAATCACCAGCTCAAGAGGTTCTCCATAGTGGTAGAGGATGGCATAGTGAAGTACCTGAATGTGGAACCAAAGGATATAGGCCTCACCTGCAGCCTGGCTCCCAACATCATCTTGCAGCTCTGAGGCCCTGGGCCGAGACATACTACTTCTACCCTTTTCTACTTCACCTGCCCAACCCCAGATAGAGGGCCCCCGTCCAACTTGAACAGGGGCCACCCAATGGGAACCTTTACCAAATTTCTGCAATAAACATTTCTGGTTCATATTTTTAAAAAAAGAGAGAAAGAAAAGAACACAGCCCAATTGCTACCTAGACTGTAGCCTTGTGACACCGAGCAGAGGACTTACCTAAGCGATGCCTGAACTGTTGACCTGTAGGAAGTGTGAAATAATAAATGTGCTTTGTTTAAATCCACTAAGATTGTGGTAATTTGCTAACTAGCAATAGAACATAAACATATATCCTTTATCCTAGTTTACAGTAAAAGGCAAGTATTTAGAGTCCCCATGTTATTTTTGTTCTTAGGCCCCATGTGGGACTTTGACATGGACTTTTTTGCTTTCTTTGATTGTAGAAATAGAAATTGTGGAAATAGAAATAATTTACTTTACTTCCTTATTTATTTCCAAGTATATTTTGGGGGGGGGGATTTACTCTTTTTTTAATATTTTCTTTTATCTCAGTGTCTTAAGACTAACTTTAGACTTTCTTTCAGGCAACAATGCATGGCCATTGTGCTTTTCCTCCTGCCCTAGCCACATAATCATCTCTTTTGCATGTTGCATCAACTCTTATCGTTTTCAGTTTTTTATTTTGATGAGCATAGACACAGTGTCTTTGGCTGTGAAATTTACATGGCTACTCCTCTCATTAAAGTCTCTCTTTTCTTGTTATGCATGCAAATAGTTATTTTATTTTTCATTAAAATCATTCTATAAATTGTGGGGAGTTTTTACTTAAAGAATGATTTTGTAAGGTCAAAACATTTATGGTGGGAAAAATTATCCCCTGATTTATATGTTTGTTATGTCTAAATGTTCATGTATCACATTTTACTTTGTAAAAGTTGGACATATCTGTGTTTGGTCAGTGTTTAATACCTTATTATTTGTAAGTTCCCAAATGCTATTTATTCTGCTTGTAATCTTAAACTGTATATTTGAGTATGTTGCCTTTCTAAGAAGTGCTATGCAACCACAGTACAGCATATAAGTTATATAATTTAGGAGTCAGTTAACTAATACGTTTTCATATTCTAGAGTGCTAGGAGTTGAGGGTATAGAGACATACACATAAAAAGTTAGCATTCTTTTTAATCCCTTCACCACATAAATTTTTAGAGACTTTACAAACTCACAAAAATTATAGTTTGAATATTTGGTACATACTATCTCTATTTAAAAGAAAAATCTTACTTTTCTTTAGAAAATATTTAATCGTATATGTTCGAAAAGCTAATGTTTTTATGTATCAAACACATGAAAATAAACAATTGAGATAAAATATTAATGAGATATTTTTTCTATGTTTATCCTGCCAGAAATTCTCAAACACTGATTTGAAGTTGAAGTGATTAAGAATTTAGATATATAGAATATAATCAACCTCTGGTCCACAATTGTCTGGAAAAATATACAATCACTATAGATGGTCTTTTATTAAATGGTTTCAAAGTCAAATTTTAATTTTAATGGAGAGGTGAAATTCCAAATCTTTCTGCATGGTCGAAGTAGGAATGAGGTAGAGTGGGGGATGGGGATAGCAATCACGTTCATTTTGATCTGTAGGGAATAACGAAACATTCAATAATCACATTTCTAAATGCATATTACAGTAGATAAGGCTTTAAGTGCTCTATTCAATTAATTAATTAAGCTTATATCTCATTCAGGTATGCAAATTATCCTCTTTAAGGGAAAGAAGCTTAGGGAGATATTTAGAGGGAAATTAATTCAAGGAGCTTTTGTTGAAATGTTTATTTTTTACTTTATTATTTTTTAAGATTTTATTTATTTATTTGACAGAGAGACACAGCGAGAGAGGGAACACAAGCAGGGAGAGTGGGAGAGGGAGAAGCAGGCTTCCCGCGGAGCAGGGAGCCCGATGCGGGCTCCATCCCAGGACCCTGGGATCATGACCTGAGCCGAAGGCAGATGCTTAACAACTGAGCCACCCAGGCGCCCCGTGTTGAAATGTTTAAGTCCTATGAACACCTTATCAATGAACAATAACTGAAACTGTTTTTTCTTGTTATCATACTCAAGTCAGTGTAATGCACTGATAAGGAACACACTAAACATTTCCAGAGGTAGGGTTTGTAATTTTTTAAAGTAGCTGAGCATGTTTAACACACTTGATTTGTGTTAGTTCAGAGGAATAGATTTTTCTTTTGGAATGCTGCCTTTTTGTTACATATCAAAATCCCAGAAACTTCTGATAGTATCCAGTGTTAATTATTTTTCTTTGAGATAAGTCAAAAAGAAACAAAAATAATTTGCCAACTCGTTATTCATATATAAATGAAATCACAGTTTTTACTTTATTGTGAAGTATGAAAGAAATAGAACATTCATAGGCTTTCTTGCATGTTTGTCTTTTAAAAAAATATGCATAGGAAAGTGTAAATAAAACAGTATGCTTATTTACCAAAGAATTTGCTGACATTCTTGTTCCACCTAGTTGTTTTAAATTTGTGCAGCTGCCTCGAGGCGCCTCCAGATGGCGCCCTGGTGCCCGTTCTCTCCGCCCAGCGGCCGACCAGTTGCCGGCTGGTGGGGAGAATGAGCTTGGAGCGGAGGGGCTTAACCCAGCGCGGCTCAGAGGTGGGTTGCTGAAGGACTCGGGGAGGCAGCTGCAACAGGGCATCACTCACTGTCCAAGTATTTCCATCTCTGAGCGCAAAAGGAAGAACTTAAGCGGGCGGCAGTTGGAGTGTAAATTGCTTTGTAGTATTTAAAAGCAGCATGGATCGTGGGCAGCTGAGCTGGTACGTGCGAGAGAAACTACTGAATTGGAATTGTGCTGGGTAGGAACCCGTCTCATCATTCTTTGTGTACCAAACGTTCTGTGTCCTGAATTGTGCCTACATGTATACACTCATTTCATTTTCACCTGGATCATGGGGGTTTGAGGTCACAATCTTTCATTTTCCAACATGATACAATAAAAGCTTTGCAGAACATTGTCTATTGATAGAAATATGATCTGACTAATGGTGTAAAGGAACACATGATAATGGCACCAAAATACTTTTATGTTTTCTTTGTTAGAGAAAAAAAGGAAGTAAACCTAACACATATTTCCATGTGGTTTTACCAGATATGACTTTTAAAAAGATAATAGAAAACAATGTATGTTTAACTACGGTGGACTAGATATTAAATCACTTTTACCTACCTATAGGTGTAGACATAAACACACCTATAAAATATGAATGATTTTCATATCTGTGTGCTAGAAAAAATATTGTGTAGCTATGAAAATACTAATGATGAAAAATACGTAGCTTGTGTATGTACATTTTGTATGGCCTAATATGCCATGTGAACATGTGTTGTCTATGTGTAGACGATAACATATATATGTCACTTACATGCAGAATTATTGCACAGTTATAAAAATGCATGTGTTGCATATGGATAGATTTTCGCACCTTCATACACAGTATTTCTATCTAGATAACTTAGTGTGAAGATCATCTATTGCTAAAAAAATAAATCTGAATTTAAAGACTGTTTAATTCTTTGAATTGTTTCAGTGTTACATTTTAAATTTCCCAAGTTTCATTCAGTTGTGCACTTAGTTTGTGCTTTTAAATTCTGAGGAAAAGTTTGATTCTTATATTTTGAACATAACATATTGGCTGAAGTGATTATATGGAAATAGAATGCATAGATATATAAATCTAGATTCCCTAGACTTGAGGTTACTATAGCTGGAATGCACAAAAGCTCTGAAAACATGGGAGTTCTGACTGGGAGTTTATGTTAGAAACTAGTCAGCCGACAGAAAGACCCAAAACTTCAGAACTACATTGAAAATTACAGAGGCTGAGGCTTTACTCTTAGTATTATTACTCTAAAACTGATGTTAGGCTACTTATAAACTTGTATGTATTCCTTTGTAACAGATTTGTACCTGAATCAGGTATTGAATTTTATGTTCTGCCATTGCACAGAGCAAATATAACACAATTCAACATGAGAAATATGAATTGAGACCTGTTTAAGATAGTATGCCAAATAAAGCCTGAGATACCAAGAAAAGTTAGACACAGTCCCTGCCCTCAAAAAGTTGCCAAATGACTAGGATGGGCATTTTTATGAACATGAATATATAAGAAAATACAAATCAAAATAAGTGCTACTAGAGAGGTGCAAGCCCAAGGTGTATAGCATTTAAGTGGAGGGAGAAATCTGGCTTACGGACTTTATATTACTAGGTACTCCTCTCAAGGGATGGGTGGGAAGATCAATTTTGGTGAGTAAAGATAATGTCCAGTCAGGAATTTAGTTTGTGTTGGGTACTGCTTTCTTCACTGAACTCGGGCGTGAGCAGTAAGAGATATTATTACACAGGTGTGTGTGTGGTGGGGCGGGCGGGGCAGTATTAGAGATGGCCTTGAACATTTTGGGTTTTCATCATTAGTTTATCCCGAGTGGCACTAACAATATAGGCATTAAGTACTCTTTTAGAAATATTGAGCGTTGTGCATAATAGCAAGAGCCAGTGTGAGGTTTTACAGTAACTTTATGATTTACTTATTGTGTATCTACCATATTAAAATATCAGTTCCAAGACATGGAAATCTTTTTCATTATTACATCCACAGAACCTAGAAATTTCCTGGAAAAAGTATCTACTATATGAGTGAATGAATGGTAAAGTGGGGATAAGGCCAAGATTCTATATTATTTACATTTAGTTTTGCTGCTACTCATTAATGACTAACATCCTCAAAATTTACCACCTCTATAGAACTATCGCTCCAGCTGATTCCCCTTATGGCTCAGGTAATGAAAAGCAAGCTCCCTAGAACAGCCACTGTTGATGTTTTATCTTAATCTGTTTTTAACCTCTTACATGAATCGTCTTTCCTTTACATTTTGAAAGGGATTACTAG